CTTCGACCTTTTCAGGATCCGAAAGTTGGACACTGGTCTTCTAAAATGCTACACCTTGTAAGTGCACACCTTCTATACTTGTGATATGATTGGACTATATCTCCTAATTAAATTAGTTCTAATACATAAATGTTTTAAGGTTGTGTTGGATCGAGAGTCGTCGCCTTGGTAATCAGGTTGGGTTCCTTGATCCATCCATGGTGAACGAGGTTAATTTACAACAGAGCTTCACTGAGGTGGTTGACTATGTCAACCGGTGTTTATGGGCCCATCAAGACAAGGAGTACATCATGTGCGCACACAACCAAGAGTAAGAGGCCAATACCCTTCGTGTATACTATTTTTGAAGTTAAGTTTCTTAGTACTAACGCTACATAACCACTGCGCAAGCGACATTGGATTCTCCTAGTCATCGTACCTAAGTGGAGTAGGGTTACCTACCTTAACTCCAATAAGTCCAAAGATTATGATTTCAGTGAAATCACCAAGGCCTTAAATATGGCTTGGGGCCCATATGTGGAAAAGGGTGGTAGGCACAAGGAGGGCAAGGACGAACTTTATCATGACACCAAGTTTGCATGCGCACAACAGATCGGAGACCAATGTGGTTTCCACGTGTGCCACAACATGTCAACACTTCTAAGAGAGGTGAAAGATTTCGACCCTGAGGTTGTTGCTAATGGCGAAAAAGCTCATTTCAATACCTACATTGCTATTCAAAACGTGCTAATTAACCTCTTATTTATTAAACAAAAAGGTAGAGCTGGCTTCAAGATCTCACCCATCAAACCCCCCGCTATCAGAGGCGAAGTGTGTGCCTTCATTCTTGCAGAAATAATGAATAAGAAAGGACGTTTTCATGTCAAATAGACTCATGAACTTGGCTGGATAATTTATTGTGATGTAAAAAAGATGTTTTTATAATTTCTTGCGATGTAAAAAATTATGCTTTTATGGAGTGCAATGTAATTTACTTTCATATGTGCAATATTTATGGTAGTTTACTAAATTGTCATCACATTTGATCAACTACAATTTACGTTGTACTATTCATCTGTTTTCTCCTTTTTTTTCCTTCTTGACAGGTTGTGGAGGTCGATGACATTATGGCTTTAATCCATTTGGTAAGTATATATGCGGTTCTATGAGCAACGACCGAAATTGTGGCTTTCAAGGGGTGTGAATTTGCTGTGCAAAATTGTGGCATTTGAACTGCATATATGTGTTATTGGGGATCTGTGATGTTTGAGATGGATCTGTGATGTTATATTGGGGGGTGATGTATCTGTGATGGATCTGTGACTGTAATATATCTGTGATGTATCTGTATTTCAGAGGGCATGGCTAGCAAATCCTGAGGCTAGCCAATATTTAGCATTTATTTTTTTTTCTAGAATTAACTCATCAGTGACGGGTCGGAACAAAAATCCGTCAAAGGTAACCTAACCTGTGACGGACTAGCAAGTAAGGCCCGTCAGAGGTGACCTACCTGTGACGGGCCTTTACTTTTGGGGCCGTCACAAGTAGATCACCTGTGACAGCTTCTAACTACGGAGACCACAAACTCTAACGGCCTTTATTTAAAGGGCCGTCAGAGATGAGTCACCTGTGACGGGTCCTAGCTCGTCCTAGGCTAGCGGAGACCAACACCTCTGACGGCCTTCTAGTAACTTGCCCGTCAGAGGTGGGTGTCACCTGTGACGACCGGCCACCCGTCAAAGGTGACTGGACTCACCAGTGACCACTGATCACTGACCATGCGCGAAGCCGTCAAAGATAAGGGTTTGGGCCCGTCACAGGTGACCTTAGCCAGTGTAGTGTTTGTAGGTCATACTGAGAAAAAAAAACACACAATATGTTGTAATCAACATTATTTTTTCTTCAAATAAAAATATTGTCGGGTAAATAGAACTCATAGAATAACAATCGAGCAGTGTTTCCCTTAAACTCATTGAACCCATCAGATAAAGGAAATAAAATCACTGTTCACTGTTCACAATGCATAAGTTTTTTTTTTTAATTGGCAAGCATCTCAGATAAACCTTTTTCCCATAAGTATCAGCTCATAGCTCCATAGATAACATGGCAGTCAGTGAAGTAGATATAAAGGGAAGATGGTCTTCAGGCAGGTCATGATGCATACACATCAAAAAAGAAGTCTATCTTTTGGACTGAATCAGCAAAGATACACAGCTTTTTTTAGATAATGATCTAGACTGATATATTTATGATATTATCCAGTGTTGTGTCCAAGTTTGTCATAATATGTCCATACACAATACCGCATCCCTCTGGAAATACATAATTGCACTCAAAATTACTACTGTATATACCATCGTTAGCTGGTGAGCAGGTTGGACAAAAGAACACTAGTGTTACTTTGCATTAAATCATGCAAACAATCTACGTTGTTCTAAGAAACAAGAACTGACCGAGTTCCTAGTGAGACAGAAACTGCAAGGATGGATGCCATCTCAGAGCCATCGAACTGCTCGCACATTTTATCAAATAAATATTGGGTTGTGCCGTTGTGGTAAAAAGCTCAAAGCTGAATTCAGCACTGGAAAAAATATAAAGATCCAAATGTTAGTTCTAGTTCAATTTTAGACATGATTAAACCAAGCCAGCAAGGATGACAGAATGCACATGATCAATCCAAACTTTCTTGTTGTATAAATATGTACAACCTCGATAGAGATGAAAGCACCTAATTAAATTGATCCTTCGGTGCTCGTGTAGTTGAAGGCCATGAAGCATCTATTGATCCAGAACTCCTCTAATCTGATATATGGTGTCTTTTTTTTAGCTCATGATTGAACTGAAAATAAAATATAATTCAACATGTTAATCATTTTATGAAGCAACCCATGAACATCAGAGAAAGGGATGTGCATATATATACATATACACACACACACACACACACACACACACACACACATATATATATATATATAGTAGCTCTATTCTACACCCCCTACTCCCACCCTCCCCCATCTCTCGTCGCAAACCCGCCCTTCCCCCCACTCTCGTCGCGCCCCTCCCTTTTCTCGATCACTCTCCTCTCTCTTGGCGCCCTCTCCCTCCTGGCGCCCCCTTTTTTTTCTCGATCTCTCTCCCCTCTCTCGGCGCCCTCTCCCTCTCTCTCTCTCTTTTCCCTCTCCCCTCTCCCGCGATCTCTCTCCCCTCTCTCGGCGCCCTCTCCCTCCTGGCGCCCCCTTTTTTTTTCTCGATCTCTCTCGCCTCTCTCGGTGCCCTCTCCCTCTCTCTCTCTTTTCTCTCTCCCCTCTCCCGCGATCTCTCTCCCCTTTCTCGGCGCCCTCTCCCCCCTGGCGCCCCCTTTTTTTTCTCGATCTCCCTCCCCTCTCTCGGCGCCCTCTCCCTCTCTCTCTCTTTTCTCTCTCCCCTCTCCCAGCGCTTCTCTCGATCTCGCCTGTTGGCCTCTCCCCCTCTAATTTTTTTTCATCTCACCTTGGAAAGAAAATTTAAAATTAAAATGACAAAACCAAGACTTGAACCCATGAACCTTATGGTTCAAAGAAATTCTCTATTAA